TCGCGATCCAACAATCTTTCCAGCGTGCTATCCCTCCACCACTCGTCTTGTTCTTCCAGCGCTTGAAAGAGCATCTCTTCGTTGATACCGTACTGCGCGTAGATGTTGTCCCTCGGCACCCACGAAGCGTCCGCTATCACTGTGCTTCCGGCGCTCGAGGGGGCCAAAGTGGATGCTGGACTCGGCATCGCTGTGCTCCCTGCCGTGCTGGGTGTAGTTGGCAGCTGTGCGGTCTGATACTCGCTCGAACCATCCACGGCGAGCGAGAGGTGCGCTGAACTTGCACTCGATGGCATGACAGAAGAGAGACCTCCGGGCGATGTCAAGGCCGCATCACGGTAGTAGACCCGTAATGCAGCCGCGTTATTTCCTCGAAGAATGCTCGTGAGCTGCAGTCCGAGATGGAAGGGGGGAAAACTCTTGCATCAGCAAGAAGGCTATTTTTGAGGCCTCGCACAAGCTTGAGAACTCACCTCTGTCTTGTCCGGGACATAGAGTCTCGCAGAGAGCAGCTTGACGATAGCTAGACCAATTCGAAAAATGAGCGCATCGCCCTCCTCCAGCAAGCTAGCAAACACGGGCAAGAAACAGTCCATATCAGCGACACTTTTTCTCACTGCCTCCCTCGTAATTCGCTCAGCTCACATGCAGTCCCATAGTCGCGCCACCGCATCAAAAGGCAAGAATGGAACAAAGAGGGTGCGAGCCCAATCTCGCACGTATGCGCTCGGCCTGACGCCGCGTGCTTGCATGTTCGCGTAGACCTCGGGGAGGCAATAGAATCGTCATTTATCAGTCGTAAGTAAACGCATCCATCGCCAATGCAGGACGTGCCCTAATCACTCACTTTCGGCATCTGGTCAGCGAGCAGGGTGTCAAAGACGCGTCTAAGGGACGTCGAGGATTGTGATGAAGCGCCGGCCACTTGTGAGCATCAGAGTTTCGCCACAATGCAAGTTAGGCGCGCTCACTCACTCAAAGCCAGCAGCTGCATCTTGTCTGAAGGATGGCGTGATAGGAGTCTGGGAATGCAGATGGCTCGCAGAGGGTGCAGGTCCACTAGGTATGGGCGTATAAAGAGCTCTCAACCAAGGCCTTTCAGCCAGCAAATTGAGCAGCGCGACCAACGTCTCCGTCGGCGACAAGTTTGACAAGAGCATGGCGGCCAAGGATGATGCGCCGGCTTGGTAGGCTAAAGGAAGGGGTGCGCTGACAGACAAAGATACAGCGGCCGTCGCTCGAAGCTGATCGAGTCGCACCATGACGTATGCTTGCAACACCTGAGCGCAGCGGCACGCTCGGCTACAAGGCTCAGTCCGCGTCGAGAATGACTTCGCAAAAACGCTTTGCTCTACTCACATCTCTCAAATCGTCGTACAGAGGCCCGACATCTCGCTGGAACAGCTTCAAGCTCGGTAGTGTATTGGCGATATCAGCTTCGATGGCTTGTGCATCCGCCTTGGGAAATCTACCTTCCTTGATCGCCTTTTGAGCTTCAGCCGAGGCGCCTTGAAACAAGTTTCTGGGCAGCATTTGCGCATTCCCGCATGCCAAGGCCCAAATTCTGCCTCTCAAATTCGGCGGAGCGCCTTTCCACCAGATCGCTCTGAGCCTATTTTCTCGCCGCGCCCTGGTCCAGGATGGTAGGATTTCCTGCGTCCAAACCGTTTGAGCGCTAGCCAGCTCAGCATCTTTTTGACGCTTGCGTTCTTCATTCTCTTCCAATTTCTTCTTTTCGGCCTGTTTGTAGGAACGCATCATTTGCTCGAAATCGGACAGGTGCTTTGCGTCTTCTGTGCGCTCTTTAGGCGGCAAGGTGGTCATGCGGGTCCGAGACTAGTCGCAGCGAGTTGGAAACGGTTAGTAGCACGCTTGCAAGACTTTGCATGCCATAACGAGCACGCACCATGTACTGCTCAAGCGCACTTGGTCCGTTTGACCTTCTTCGATTCTTCTTGCCTGGCTCAGAGTCCGCGATGTCCCTCAGACCTGGCGCACGATCGATCTCGGTGGATGCGGTAGCCACTTCAGAAGCAGGAGCAGAAGTAGCAGAGGTGGACGTGGGGTCTTCGCTGGACGAAGTCGAACTGCCTTCCCTGCGCTCGACTGCGGAGGGATCCTGACCAGGCCCGGTTGGCGATGCCGTCTCCGTCGTAGGACTCCCAGCTGATCGAGGCTCTACTCTTGCCGACGCTTCTATGCGCTCATCCTGCTCTTCTTCCAACGAAATCGCAGTCATTTGGCTAGCCGAAAGTTCTGAAAGCCGCGTCTGATCCTCGTTGGACTTTCTCGAAGCACTCGCGTGGTGATCCTCTGCCACGTATTCCAGAATCTCGCCATCCTCGCCTGCGACCATCATGGAGATGCCTGGTTTCGTTGAGCTATGACCCAATCCCGCAGCCGCAGCAGGTGATCGATCCAACGAGCTGTCGAAAGTCGCAGAGCCTCGCTGCGTAGGCACAGGGCTGGCGCCACGTGATGATGAGCTGTATCGATGCGCTGCATTCTCCATCTCTGTAGGGGTCACAGCTCTGGAGCTGGGTCTGCTTCTTCTGCCCATATACCTTCCCTCTCCCGCCATTTTTCGATCCGTCGCAGAGCTCCTCACGCTTTCCGACGAGTTTCTCGATTCCTCATTGCCGGTAGCGGGGGCACTGCGACCCGAAGCAAAAGAGGAGCGCAAGCTCAGAGTGCCATTCTCGCTATTGCTTTGACTCGTCCCTCCTTCCTGGCTCATTGTTCTCTTCAGCATCCTATCTCGATGCGCTGCAGCAGCGGCAACTCTTTGAGCTGCCGAACTGCCACTAGCTATAGAGTCTTGCCTTATCTCGACGCTGGATCGACTGCCAAAGGCTACGCCTGCTCCGTATGGGGACCGCATCATGTGCTGATCGTGACTTGCCGATCCAAGCGCGCTTCCAGGTGCAGGACTTTCCAGCGCAACATCTACAAATCCAACAGGTTCCACATCTTCTGAGTACGTGCGGCTCCGAGGTCTCGCTTCTCCTGCCGCGTTCCTGATGCTCCTCGATCGCTGCCCAGAGACGGGCCTTAGAGGTCTGCCATCTGCGTACGTATAGCTAGCAGAGGAAAAGGTAGGAGATGGGACAGACGCGTATTGCGCTTCTGCCTCTGCAGCTAAAGAGTCAACACCTTGACCAGAAAGATCTACCAAGGAAGATCGCCTAAAGCTCCTACCGCTGCCGCTGGCTTGCATAGAAAAGGGCGACAAGTCGGGCAAGTCGTATCTTTGAGGAACGACGGATTCCATTCGCTTGTGAGACGAGTCTACGCTTTGAGAGTTGCTGCTGTCTGACGATGAGCTGACTTGGCCAGCTGTAGCTGCAGCTGCACTCTCCAAGACTTGAGCTGTCGAAGCTGCTCTGCCCGCATCTTTGGGTGTCCCTTGCGAGCCGGACGTCTTGCCCTGCAGCTCCGCTCCGCCATTCCCACTCATCCGCTGCTGGGCAGCTGCATCATTTGCGACTTGCACATCGACTTGGGCAACGCGCTGCGACGCCTCGTGTGTATGCCCCTCGGAATTTGAGGCACGCTCCTCTGCGCCATCCCTCAAGGGCGAGGTCTGCATCGGATTCGCGCCACGCTTGTCAGGAAGAACCTGCCCGTCGAGAGAGTCGCCGTGCAGCTCGTCCGCTGCAACGACGTCATCCAAAGTACCCTCCTCATCCACTGCCACCTTGGCCGTCTCTCGCGCTCCATATACCCCGTTTGCTACAGGACTTTCCGTAATGCTTGAACCGACGTGCTCATCATCATCGTCTGCCAAGACCGGCTTGGTATGCGCAGCTTGCTCGTCTCTCGACTCGAAGCCTGCAACGAAAGCTGTGGGATCTGGCATGTTGTCCACCTCCGCTTTTGCTCTCGTCTCACCGGTCGTTGAGGTGATGTCGTGATTCATGGCAGCCTGCACCAATCCGTATCAACTCCTTTGCTTGGCAGGCGGAAGGGGGGGGAATGCCGCTGAAGCAGTGCTGAGGCTGTTGGCAGAGGGCAGCAGACCTGCGCGATCAGCAGCCAGAGGGGTGGTGGCAGCGCGCAGGGTGTCCGATTTGAGCTCTTATCGCGAGCGCAGCGCATAAAGAGCGTGATGAAGGCCGAGCGAAGATTCGCAGTCGTGGGTGCGGCTTCAAGAGTGCGTTCGTTGCGTGATGAGCGAAGACGCGCTGTTCGACCAACTCGTGACTAGCGCGGGGATAAGGTGAGCCTGCCTGCCTGCCTGCGCGTGATGGATTGCCCGCGGGCCGAGTCGGTGGGATGATGTGGTGCAGACTGTGACTGCGGTGGGATCACAACTCGAGGTCAAGGAAAGGCAGAGAGAGTTGTAAGTTGAATCATCGATCGACCTTGCGCTCGCTATAGCTGCCTCGTTGACCGGCAATGCGGTGCTGTGCGGTGCGGTTGCTTGTGCGATGCACAATCGTGAATCATGAATGCATCATCACAACAATCCTGCTGGATCCTGCTGCTGCTGCTGCTGCTGCTGCTGCCCCGACCAGCTCGCCGGAAGACGGCGGAGGGACGCATGCAAGCAGGCTACCGCTACACTAGTGGTACCGTGCCGTACGTGGATCGGCGTTCTTGCGGCGCGCTTGCCTGCCTGCTGCCCGCCGTCGATCTGCTTTGGCGCCATGTACATCCATCACAGCATCGCATCGCATCGCATCGCACTCCCACGCCTCGCTTCACACGATCGCCACTCGTGAGCGCGTGTGTGCGTGTGTGCGTGAGTCTCACCTAGGCTGTAAGAACTCAGCACTTTGACTCCATTCAAACTTGCTCTGCTGGTGTGCGGCTGGGCGCAGCTTCAGCGCACGGATGATTCGTGACTAATCAGCACCTACTCAAGGAAGCATCACGCTCGCCTCTGATCAACACGACCATTCCACACGAGATTCAAGGAAAAAGGAGAACAAGAATCAATCGAAATGTGGAACAGTCTAGGTCATTGCAGCAAAGGAAAAGTTGCTGAAAACAAAGATCAAAGAGCGTGCGGAGTGCGATGATCGAAACGTTGTGCCGAGTCGAGAGAGTGTGCGGGAAGGATGTGCATCTGCGTATAGGTTCCTACAGCTTCCGTTTCCGAATCAGAAATAGCCTCTCCCACATCTTGCGCCTCTCCTTCTTCCTCATCTTCGTGACCACGATGCTGCCGCTGCTGCTGCTGCTGCTGCTGCTGCTGGGCAGAGCCCATGATGGCATCGCACGCCGACATTGCAGGAGGTGAAGTGCGGTGGAGCGCGGACACGGACAAAGCGGGTGAGCTTGGTGCGCTGCCGCTTCTCACAGTCGCAAGGTTGATAGAGGCGGAAGCAAGCGCTTGGCTGGCGGTCTGAGCCGCACTCCTACCATCAAGCATGTCAAACGCTTCCTCGTCCGAGTCGATGCTCACTCCAAAGCTGGAACGACCCTTGAAACGACGCGCAAGACTTGCTCGACTACCGTGACTCTTGCGGCTGACGTTGCTGGTGCTGCATGCATATCTGTTAGAGCTCGCTTCGGACTGTTGACTAGCAGACCTGTGAGTGCCTCTCGACCCGATAGATCGAGTGATGGACCCGCCGTGGGAGATTTGTGCCGCTTGGGTAAACGGTCTTTCATCAATCGAGCGAGGCGAGCTTGGAAAGGATACGGGCTTGCGGTACGAGCTGCAGCGTCTGGACGACTCGACGACGTCTTCGCACGAGATTGCCAAGCCGACCGGTAGTCGACTATCGCTCGAACCTCGTCGGCGAGTGCGCACAGGGGGATAGCGCAAGTCCATACTGTGAGATCTCGCAGGGATCGGTGGCAACGTCAAGCGAGCGTCGTTTGGCGGTGCAAAGCTGTGTGTGTCCGGCAGCCTTGGTGATCTGCCGCCTTCACTCGGATCGCGGCGCTTGGCGTGGAGATAGTCCTCTTCCATTTTCATGCTGCCGTCAGATCCAGACGGGGAAAGTGGTGAAGCGTAGGCTGGAGCTGGTGTCCGCTGAACGGGCAAAGAGACCAAGTCTGCTTGGCTGTAGGGCAGAATGTTGATCTGATTCGCAGCTCGCGAGTATTCATCATCGCGATCTGTGGCGTTCCGACTGCTGAGACCGACGTGGTCGGATGAGGTGTTGAGGTATGCCAGAGCACCTGCTCGGTATTGGCGAGTACGTGCATAATACCTGTCATCGGAGGATGCTGGACCGGCGCTTCTCTGATTGCGCGCCATCTCTTCCAGCTGCGCCTTGACGATGACGCGCTTCGAATCTCTGAAAACCTTTCCGGCCAGCATGGGAGGCACGGAGAAGAGCAGAGCGGCGCCTGCCACTTGGTAGCTGACCAAGTGCGCGGGCCAGTGAAAGTAGAAGAAGATAAAGATGACGTCGACGACGATGTTGAGGACAAAGAAGCGGAAACCTTGTGCGAGGAGCACCTTGGAGAGCGAGGTCATGCCAAAGCATTTCCAGCCAGACGGTCTCAAGAGGCTCTGCAGACCGCCTTGCAAGAGTCTGTGCAGCGTCAGAAGCATGATGACCACGTCTTGGAGCAGCGCCGGCACCTTGTAAGCAACATTGTACACGGTGCGCAGCTTGCGTTGGGTGTCGTAGTGGCACCATCCGCTGCCATCTGGAATGTCCAGACCCTTGCCGTAGTATGGCAGGCTAACGCAGCTCAGCACCAACACGATGCCCCAGAGACCTAGGACAGGCATGGCCACGCGTCGCTGCCACTCGTAGAGGCTCAGTGTGCGCATGATGAAGACAAGAGGCACGGCGTTGGCCAGCGGTACGAGTAGCACATTGAAGGTGCGCGCATAAGTTGCGCATGCATCTTGGCCCAACTCTCGACCCACGGGAGCGGAAATGTAGACCAGGATGAGGGTGAGCACGGCGGGCGAGAGTATGCGGCAGGTGAGATATGCCAAACGGCTGGTAAGCTTTACTCGATTCTTCCACCCTGCCTCGCGCAATAGCGACAGGTCAAAAGGCAAGGCGCTTATGAGATCCCACAGCACCATGCCCAAGAAAGCGGCAAAGAGCTGCTGCAGCACTTGAAAAGAGACCGCAACGTCCTTGGGCAAATGCCAGAAGATGAGATCGCCTTGCATCGCCTGAGCAAACAGTTCCCGATCGGTCTGACCAAAAGTCAGGTGCATGGCTGGTCGTGCCATGTTGCATGGTGGTCGCTCCTCGTCGACGAATGTGATGTGTTTGAGAAGCGTCAAGCTGAGAATCAGCGCTTCGAGAGAGCTCTAAGAGAGGGAGCTGACGCGGGGAAGAGTGACAAGGCGAGGCGTTGGAAGTGATGGACAAGCCTTGGCGATGCTCTTATACGAAGCGGTGCACCTAGCTGCGTCCATCAGAGTGACGATCAAAGGTCTGTGCGCCGAGGCGAATGCATGCGCTTGAGCGTTGTTGAGCGACTGGACAGCATCGGGAAGAAGATGCGTGGGAAGCCAGCAGCCACCTTTTGACGGAGGGGCCCTCGAATGCATCAGCCACGAATGTCGGTGTGTGACTCATCGCAATATGAAGGCCCGCAGTCGCATAGAATCTCGACTTGTCCTTCGGGAGCAAGGCCAAATCCATCAGCGCGCGCGGGCTATAGCTGCAGCAAAAGCAAGCCTTGCGGAAAGATGCCGCGGGAATCAGAATGTGAATGAATGCATGGTCTCTCGCAGCAGATGCACAAATTCCTCGCCCTCCCGCACAAAGTTAAGAGTGCCAGTCTTGTCCCATCTAGCCCAAATGAAGTTCCCCGGTGTCGTAAAGGACTTCACAGCTATGCCACAAGCTGTCCTCGGACTCACCCAAACAACGCTCCATGCGTGCCCTTCCTGTGGTCCGATATATCGATTCGGATCCGTCAAGCAAGCGAGCGAGCGAGCAAGCAGTGAAGCTGTTCATACAAAGGACAGGGGAGGAGGGAGGTGTGTTAGTTTGCTGATGCGCGCAGCAGGGCTGCATCAGTCATCCACCCACGCTGCGAGAGCGCAAGCCTTGTCTCTCCTTTCTGCTCCACCTGAGACATGGCTCTTGCTGTCCAGCAGGCTAGGTCTCACGTGGAATTTGCGCAGAGATGCGTGCATGGGGCGTCGGGCGTCCATCACTCGACAAAGGCCCAGCCTAGCCACGATTCGAGTCCTGACTTTGAGAGTCACGAGTGCGGATGCTCTGCATCATGCGTCACAAACGGCTTTGTCTCACGTCTCACATCAAGGTCCGAGGTGCCGGCATACGGTCGACCGATGTGCGTATATGCAGCAGCTTGCGGTCGGGAAAAGCGGGATGGATGCTGGCGCTTTGCTGGCTGATGCTGATGCTGATGCTGATGCTGCACTGAAATGGACTGAGCGGAGCTTTATTGTGGTTGGATCCATTGCCATCCATGCAGGTCTCTCTGCTGCTTCTCTCCTCGCTCGGTCCTCGAGCGAGGCTTGCAGGCGGTCTGAGATGCTGCTGCTGAGTACCAACAAGCAGGTGTATATTTGTGCGCATTTACGAGCGTACCGTAATCTGGGCTCAGCGGGGCTCGAATAGCGCTTCCCGCTGCTCTTCAATTGGTAACTAGTCGTGTGTGATGCGCGCATGATCACAAAATGATGAATGTCTCGCGGAAGGAGACCAAAGTCTTCCTTTTCATTAGCTCCGCCGCACGCGATTCTTGCATGGACGCATTCGGCCCGCTCGCGATCTTGCTCGGGACCGGCATGCATGCATGCATGCGTGCGTGCGTGCGATGCGCTGCTTCAGCTTGATTGCACCTGCACCACCCCACGCGCATCCCAGCATGAATCTCTCTTCTGCTGACTGCTGCTGACTCACAGCTGATGTGGCTGCACTCGACTCGCACTCACGCTACTACTACTACTACTCACAAATTTACATACCTGCCTAGACACCCACCCACCTGACACACAAGGTGGCTATCTCTGAGTCTCAGCAGGTCAAAAGCCATGGCGCACCGCGGTTGAAGCCGCTCGTCTCACACCAAGACATGGCGCGCACCCTCGAATCACGAAGCGCTGCGCCGCGTCGTTTGGCTGCCAGCACCATGCATCCCGACAGCAATAGCCCCCCGCGCGGCGAGTCAGGCTCTTCGATCCAAGTGCGGTGAGCAGGACGTGCCAGCTCGGGACTTTGAAGGTGTGCAAATGTCAAGCATCGGTGAGCCATGCTCGACGAGAGAGAGCCAGCCAAACGTGTGCCCTGCTATAGCTGCTGTGCTCCCGCTGCTGGTGCTGCTGCTGCTGCTGCTGCTGTGCACACTTGACTTTTACACGCACTCAAAAACGCTAACTACTACTACTGTACGTTGACCAGATTTCCATGCACAGCATCTGCATGCGCATCTATTTGCTGGGCTGCTGTCAACGGCAATTTGTGGCTTGACTTGACGCGTGCACGCTAAAAAGAAAGACTTCCTTTTCGATGTTCCTGCATTGCAGTCGTATCTGCGCTTTTCCCACGCTCCATTCTTGTTTCTCTTTGCTCGTCTCTTTGCTCGTCTCTTCGCTATCACAGCTTGCCTGCTTCTCATCAAGTGCTGCTACGCGAGGCTCGTTGCTGAGCATGTACCTGCGATGATGATAGCTCTGATCACGAGTAGAGTCGACCATCCATACGCATCTGTGCGTGGCCTGATCACACTGAGTTCTTGTCCAGAAAGAGCCCCCCGCTGGACTGATGTCAATGCTCAGAACGCTCGATGCAGCAGGCCCGCTCATCCTCACAGCAGTCATCAGTCAGAGGTGGGCAGCGCGCTAGCAAAGTGGCAAGTACGCATGCAGCATTCATTCGAGCTAGAAGCCGAAGCACTTGTAAATACATCTATCCAGCTTGAGAAGCCACTTGAAATGCTTGACCAAGGGCGTGCGAAGAGCAATCATGAGCATCTAGGTGCATCGTGCTTGCTTGCTGGCCCGTCCACACGAGCGCGGAGCAGAAGAGCTGCAGCGGGTCGAACGGCGCTTCGTCTAGGCTCCCTCTTGCTGGACCTCGGATTCACAGCTAAGACGCCATTCTCTGATAGACCGCAGCCCGTCGCGTAAAGTACGCAACGACGGCTCTGCGATAGTGTTCACACTCGGCCGTACGAGGTCTTGAGGAAGGTCAGCGATGCCATGGAACCTTTCAGCATGACATCTTGGCTGAAAAGAGCCTCAGTGATGGGCCTAGAGACGTTTGAAGCGCCGCCACGTGAAATCAGTGGCAGGTTGATGGGAGGGCTTGAATTGAAGCCTATTCCGGACTTTTTGCTGGACTCTGATTGAGATCGAATGGTAGGGGTGGCTTGTTGGGCTGAGCAGCAGCCTTTTTCGGCGCTCTGACAATACTTCCAATGGCAGCGCTGAGTGCCTGATTGGTTTTCTTCAGCTCTCTCTCCTGCGCTGGCGTCAAACCACTTCGCGTTGCTGACGTCTCTAGGTTAGGATCGTACTTTGGCGCCTTGAATACAGCTTTCTTGCGTCCGAGCTGCCAAGAGACTTCCCCATCAGCTTGACGTCGGAGAGCCTCGAGCTGCTCCTCCAGTTCTTCGTTGGTTCCGAAAGTTGTACCTTTTCGTCTCCGCCTGCGCTTCGGCGTTGAAGATTCACCTTCTGCATCCGCAACGGGCCTCACTCGCGGCCGTCCCGCATTCGAACTAAACTTTCTCTGCACGCCCGGAACCTTTTCCCAGACTTTTTCGCGAGGCCATCCGGCTTGCAGCAGCTTGGACCGTACTCTAGATCTGCCGACCTGCGCCTGGCGTTGCTCCCGCGACGTTTCGGGGAAAAATTTGCTCTTATCGGCACCGGCCGCTTCGATCTCTGACAAGAGCTTCGATACGATCTGAGTACTGGCATGTCGAGGATTTCCAGGCACCGCCGTCCACACCTCCATCTCGCTCTTGCCATCCTTTCTCATTCTCTCGCGCTCTTTCACTCTTCTATTTCGCGCGGCGCTATACTTTGCAGCCTTTCTCTTCCTCGCCAACGGCAAAGCTAAAGAGTCCAGCTCGGGCGACGTGGGCGGCGTCGCTTCAGGCGGTCTGGATAGGATCCCTTCGCTCGAAGCTGAGTCAGAGGAGGTCCGGCTTGGCAACTTCAACTTTGAAGCTCGCGAAAAGCTCGAGCTGGACGATGCGCCAGACAGCAGAGCTCTTTCTAATTCGGCTCCCGTCAGTTCGCCCGCCGAAAATAGCGGAGCTCGACGATGAAGAATCGTCGCGCTGGGAAGACGGGACATCCAGTCGACGTCGTTGTGAATTTGAGCAATGCGCCCGACATGGTTGGACGGGTGCGTCGCACGTGCCGTGCTCATGATGGAGATTAGGAGAAGCGCGCCCAGCGCTTTGGGCACCTCGCTAGCTTGCAACAGAGTCTGCATAGTTCAGCAAGGGATGTAAGTGGGTGAATGGGCGGAAAGCGTTCGAAGAAGGTGCGCAATGAGCGAGAGGCGCTCGTGAGCAGGTCTCGTCGCTGAGCAAACAGACCTGCTGGTTTGTCTTTCAAGTGGTTATCGCACAGTCAAGGAGACACAGACCAGCTGTGCCGCGGAATGAGAGAATGTGGACGAAAGAAGAGAAAGCCAGGCATTCACATTGAGATAAGGTGCAAATCGAAGAGTGAGACCTGGATGAGGAAGAAGCCGTCTTTCCCCCACACATCCCGTGAATATCCCTTGAGATCTCTCTGTGCTCATTAGAGCGCTGCCTTGTCGAACGATGATTGGCGGAGTGGCAACCTGATGCGAATGAACAGACGCAGTGGCAAAATGGAGGCGGCCGGCTTTTGCGACTGGCGAGTCGCGAAGACGACGCCAACGAGCTCGAGTTGAGTTACAGTTGAAGAGCGTCTTGCCGTCCGGAAAGATGCCTACTAGACGCAACGCACACTCGTATAGGGCTACGCCAGCCAGTAACGATGGACATTGGCGCAATCAACAACAACGCCCTGACGGCGGCATCTTACATGCCGATGCACTTGCTGAGCGCCGGCATGGGCTTGACGAGTGAATGACATCTCGACAGTGGGCCGAACTCTGCGGCGATGTGCGTTCCTGCACTTCATTCAAATCCCTGGGACAGACACAAGTGAGGCAGCGTTAAGATCTGAGGACGTCAGCGGTGTGAGTGATTTGTTGTGGCAATGAGCCACAGGTGCGCCACCTCTAGACGGCGTCGAAAAGAGAGAGTCATCACAAGTGGCGGTGTCGACGGCGTGAGGCTAATGATGTGAGGGCAGCAAGCAATCAGAATCAGAACACGGATTTGTATGCGCCATTCACGTGATTCGATCATGGATGAGGCGGCTTACTTGCTGCGTATGACACTAATCAATCCTTTCGCTCGAGCCTCGATCGATCACTTAAAAAGTTAGCCTGATCGCATGCACTGATGGTGATGTGCAGAAGAATCAGTCGGCCCGCTCCTGGACGCTTGAATTTCCTACCGTGATCAGATTTGACTCACGACTCTTCTGATGATGACTTTAGACTCAAGACTCACCCTGCCTGACCACTGACTCGACCCACGATCGACTCTCAGATCGTCGTGATACCGCTACCTCGCCTCTGGGTGCGCGGTATTCAATGGTCAATAGAGACAGGTCACGTGACGCTCGCACGGAGCACATCGCTGCCCGCTGTGCTGGTGGCGCACAGTTCCCCACAACAGCAGCCAGCACGCGTGCAAGGCACATGAGCATCGAGAAGAGCATGCATACAGCAAGAAGGTGATGAGGGCGCATGCACATGTGTCTGCTTCGTTCCGATGCGGTCAGCCATGGTACGTAGACTTGGCTTGTACGATCGCATACATGCGCTCGGGAGGGTGTTCTACTTCGCTTATTCCCCTTCAACCACCATCACCATCACAACACCTCGTTGCGAGCGCATACGCTCAGCTAGAACGTTCCTTTATTCACGACTGGCAAGTCCCACAACATGGCTTCCACCTCCACCTCGCCCAACAACGTGCCAAAGGCTAACCTGTACACCTTCAAAGGTAAGTAGCACACTTCCATTCTGGTCCATGTCAGCAGCAGCAATAGCCTCACGTCCTATTCATCTCCATTCAGCTTCGGTCTGGGGAGCAGTGGGTGAGCATGGCAAGGACGACCCGCATGTTAAACCCCCTACGCAGCTCACGCTCATTGTTTGCTTGGAACGTTTTCGCACAGCGACCATCGGCCTCGTTGAGAAAGGTTATGCGCCAGACGACGTAGATCTGCGCTCGGTAGTGCTTCCAAAGGGAGAAAACTTTGCTCCAGCCTATTTGCGCATCAACCCCAATGCCACGGTGCCCAGCTTGGTAGTGCCATTGGCGGACACGACGAGCGCAGAGGTGGATACGAAATTCAGAGCGCTCAACGATAGCGTCGCGGTGCTGGAATTTTTGGGTGCGTAAGCATTTGTGAGCAAGCGTCGGTATTTCGTGCTCATTCGCCTCAGCTTCCTTGCAACTGCGCTTTGCAGACTCGTCAAGGTCTCAGCAGATTCTGGATGCGCGTGGAGAGACTGGCACTGCTCCCGCGCCGATGCTAGCACCGGCGACGATCGAAGGAAAAGCAGCCAGCGATGCTCTCATAGCTGTACGTCGTCTTGCTCGTGCATGCGATGAGCGGGACACAGCTAAGCTCCTCTGATCTTACCCGCAGCTTGTCCACCACGACGACGCCGATCCCAACGGCCTGCTACTCGCGGTCAGGGACGAGAAGGAGCTGGAAGCTGCTGTCAAAGGCTTTCATGGGACATTTGTGAAGGGACGGTAAGCAAAGGGTCAAGCTGTACAGGTGTGCATGGCCCCAAGCTGATGGAGTCTTGCTGGCTTTGATATTGACAGCTTCGAGGCTCTCAAAACCTATCGAGCCGAAACTGCTGCCCAAGCTAAAGGTCCCAATCCGAGGGATGCGGCAATCACCGAGCGATTGCTCAATGTGAGTGCTTATTGATGCGGCGGGACCAGTAGCAGCGACTCACTCTGTGCTCGACTATGCCGCCTTCGAACGCTCTGAGCAGTGGTACGATGAAAGGTTGCTTGCGGATGCGCCGCTCTACAATACATTCATCGCTGGAGATTCGACAGCTCAAAAGGCGTTCATCGAGCAATCCATCAATCTCTGGGTTGGTCTTGCGAAGGTGCTGTCCACTTTAGAAGAGCGACTGGTCGGACCTTTGGCGCTCGGTGACCAGATCGCCCTGGCTGATATTCATCTGATGGCATATCTAGCTAGGATCTTTCAAGTAGCTCAGAGCTTGCCCTATGCTCCAAAAGGGGACGAGATTTCTGCCGTGGACGCAGCTTTCAAGCACCCAGCTATCGCTGCCAAAGTCACCAACGCTGCTGTTGGCCCCAAGGTGCGTTGCACGCTATCGAGCCGCATGCTTCCTTTGGCGTGCTCGTCTCTCACGTTCATTTCCTGCCGCCCCCTCCCATTGTTGGCATTTCGCAGGTGGCAGCGTACTGGCAAGCTCTCAAGCAAAGACCCTCGTTCAAACACGAGTACGCCGATGGGCTGCACTGAAATGGTGAATGTGGTAGTCGAAACAATCCAGCAATGACCCGAAACACCAGACTAAGTTTTTCGGGAGGCAATGTTTGCGAGTGCCTTATGATTGCGAAAAAAAAACAAAAAAAAAACAAAAAAAAATGTCTGTGATATTGTGTACAAGTGCAGGGAGGAGTCGCGAGAATCTCGGGCGGACGAGGGTCGAGCGAAGCTCAATTTGAAGGAGGAAGCCTCTCTAGCTTGCCCCCTTTTTTCTCTCCCTCTCCTCCTGCCTCATCTTGAGCTTCTCTGCCAGGGTAGGTCTTCGTGAGGCCGCACTCGCAGTCGCATTTGCGTTTGCGTTGGTGCTGGGCGATGTGCTCATGCTGGATGTAGCTTGTGGCTGGACGGACACGTGCTCGGACGCAGACGGGATGGAGGTGGAAGTGGAAGCGGGATGGGGATGGGGATCGGGATCGGAGCTGGCAGTCATTTCTTCAGCAAGGTTCGTCTGAACAGATTCTACTGTGCTTTCTCGAATCTTCAGCTCTTCTTCGACTCCTTTCGCTTGGGGCTCGACACGCGCCGCTGCTGAGATCTCTGCATTTGTCAAGTCGGGCTTGGGCTCCGATGCAGCACCTTCTTGCGTCGCATCGATGCTATCCGGCAAAGAATCCGTCTTGTCCAGTCGAAGATTTGCAGAAGGCTTGGCACTATCCTCCTGCGCGCTGTTCTGTCCAGTCGATGCAATGCTCGACAATGGCAAAGTCTCGATCGAAGCATCATTTTCTTGCAAATTCGAGCTTTTTTGCGATTCCTGGACCGCTTTCCCTGCCTCTTCATGTGCTCCACGCTCGTCCTTGGCCCGTCTCTGCGCGCCAGTAGGGTCTGCCCCTACTTCACTCGCTCCCTTGGCATCTTCCCCGCCTTGCTCCCGTCTGGCCTCTTCCGCAGCACGTTCCACTTCCTCCCCTTCTCCGAGCGCCCTTTCAGACTTGAATTTTCGGTCTTCTTGCGCTTCGGCCTGCGCATGTGCGCGCTCCCGTTCGCGCTCGCGCTCTCGCTCGGCATCCTCTTCTTGCTCCTTCTTCATCTTCTCTGCTGTTTCTCGCAGCCTCTTCTCTTCTCCTTCTTCCCTCTTCATCCTCTCTTCCTCTTCGCGCCGAGCTTCGTACTGCTCTTCTTTTCTTGCCTTCTCTTCCTCCTCTGCTCTTTTGATCCTCTCCTCCTCTTCGCGCTGCACTCTCTGCTCCGCTTCTTTTCGCTCCTTCTCCTCCTTCTCCTCCTCTCTTTGGATCTTCTCTTTCTCTTCACGACGTGCTCTCTCTTCCTCTCGCGCCTTTTCTGCCTGCTCCCTTCGGAGCCTTTCCTCCGCCTCGCGTCTACGCTTCTCCTCTTGCTCGCGTCCAGCTTTCTCTTCCTCCTCCCTCCTTGCTCTCTCTTCCGCCTCCTCGCGTCTCTTCTCTTCGACTTCCCGTCTACGCTCCTCTTCCATCTCCTTGCGCGCCCTCTCCTCCTCCGCCTCTCGTCTTAGCCTCTCCTCTTCCTCTTTGCGCACTCTCTCCTCCTCCCTCATTCTACGTCCTCTCTCCTCCCTCACTCTTTCTCTCAAGCCTCGCTCCCCCTCCTTCCATTCCTCACGCGTCTTTGTGATCCATACCTCTATCCTCGCTATAATCTCTTCCAACGCATCGTCGCCCGCCGCAGCGGCTCGTGAAAAAGTCGATGAAGAAGCTGACTGGCCAAAGATGTCTTGGTGTAGCGCTCTGATGGACCAATCGACAAGGATCAAATCCGCGCTCAATCTGGAGCTCAAAAGGACCTTTGTGCCTCTCAGCCTTCTCTCTCGCTCTTGCTCTCCCGTAAGCTCTTCAGGACCGACCTGCGCTTCTTGCGACTCCAGCATCGTCACGTCCAATCTTTCCTCCTGATCGACATGCAATTTGAGCGGGAAGATCTGTCCGACTGCGTAGCTGCTCGAAGAATCGACGATGCGCTCTAACCTCGCCTTCAGCCTCCTTTCCAGGTGTCTTCTCAGGCATCCAGAAAGAGCGATGCGACATTCCTTTGGCGCAAAGATGCGCAAAGTATCCAGCGCACGTTTGATAGGTTCGTACAAGATCGACACTTTTGTTTCCTTCTGTCCGCTAAAGATGCTAGCCATGTCTATGCTCGAGAGCGCGCACACCTCTTCGAGATCTCGCATCCACGTTTGTGATTCTGCAGAGTCCAAACCTTGATCGGGCGTTGACAGTTGAGCTTCGAAAAGAGATGTGGCTGTGCTTTGCAGAATCTCCGAAACGCGAGGAGGAAGAGAGGCGGAAAAGTTTTTAAGACCTGCATCCACAAAGCCGAGGAGCGTGTGTAGCGCGGCCAGACTAGCGACAAAGTCCTTGGTGTCTTGTTTATCCTTTGACGCTGATGATTCTTGCAGCACATCACCGGCACCCGAACCAGAGCCGGAAGCAGCATCAGCACTGGTTTTGACGGATCTTTTGGCTCTATCTGGTAGTGTTTCGAGATGTTGCACCAGCTTGACCAGTTGGTGCGAGAGGTAAGAGGAAGTGAGCTGAGGCTGAAGAGGAAAGAGGGACGTTTGAAGGGAAAGAGTCTCTAGCGTCTGTTCGCGCCAGATGGAGACCCAAGAGCGCGTGCTGCTCGCAGTCTGTAGAGCGCGATCCAGCGATGCGGATCGGGCACGTAGAAAATGCAGATCGAGAGATTGAAGGGGCATCCGAAGATTTCGTTGAGGAGAGTTGGAGTCGAGCTGATGAGGATGATGCTTTGTGCGGGTATGCTGCGTAGAGAAGGGCGGGGAGAGCTGCGCGAGATGCCGAAAGGAGGCGAGGGTGCTCTTTGCAGCTGGCAGTCTCAGACTGGGATTGGCGAGCGCGTGCATCAATGATTCGTGCAGCGCATACAGCCTCTCGTAGCTCTCTTCATGCAACGTCCGCAACACATTTCCTCTTCCCCACGTCTCCCCCTCGGCCAACTCTTGCACCTTGCCGACCAGCGCGATGGCTTCCTGGTTCAGACCAGCCTTGATGCAGCTCTCCACCAACGGGGCAGCTTCGAGCAGATTTCTTAATCGACGATCGAATGATTTGCTAATGTTCCTCGCTCGTCTTCTATGCTTTACTGCCCCCTCCGTCGCATTCTTGAAATCCAACGCTCTCCTTTCTAATAGGGGCAGGGATGCATTTAACAGATCTTCGGTGGATCGATGCATCGTCTGACTGCACCTCTGCACCGAGTCAGATGCGGAGCGCAGAGTGACGAATGCGGGCACTTGATGCAAACACAGGTTGGACAGTTGTTGATCCAATGCTGTGAGGGTGGAATGCAATGCGGAGGGCGACTGTTGCAGTTGCTCTAGCGGTTGAGTTGTCAGACTTGTCAGGTACGCCACAGATTTGGAGGAAGAGAAGAGATCGAAAGAGCTTGAGGAGGAGGAGTAGGTGGTGGTGGAGGAAGAAGAGAGGAGCAGCTGTACCAGAGCATCATCTTTACCTGGCCCTGCTCCTGCCGGGTGCGCACCGTTGGCCAGAGACATTGCGACTCAGGTCACTCGGGCAGCGACTCGAGGCTTGACTGACTTGTCACTGCGAATAGTCAGCTTGATGGAGAGCGAGAGCGAGAATCCGGATCGCGGTCCACAAGCATGTCGATGTACCAGCAGGGGTGCAAGAGGAGAAGGAAAGGCGGAGCGCCTGGCTGCCTGTATGCACCCATTGACTCACACTCGTTACTTGGCTGCTGGTGCATCGACGCCCGCGCAATTAAGGTGCATCATGGCTCCACTCCTCCGCCCAGCGCTGACTTCTCGCACGGTAACACGCTCCGCCCTGAGCTCGAGCCCTGCTGCTGCTGCTGCTGCTGCTGCTGCTGCATGCCTGCCCTGCCCTGCCCTGCCCTGCGCTGCGCTGCCATGCCCTGCCCTGCTGTCCGCTCACATCACACATCACAACTCTCACTCACTCGTCACTCTGACGCTCACTGCGAAGCCTGCCCACCTCTCACCTGCAGCGCTGCCCCTGCCTGCCATCGCTTTAGCCTCATCCTCCTTCACCACACCCGGGCGCGCGCGCGCGAAAGGAGCAAGCACCAAGCGCATCCTTTACGCGTGACGTTCCACAAGCTCAGCTCTCAGCATTCACACGGCCCCCTTCCCCGTCCCCCCGCTTGCCAACTTTGCTGTACCGGCAGCGTGCTCGCAGACGGGAAGAGCGACGCACAAGCACAAGCACAAGCACAAGCACAAGCACAAGCACAAGCACAAGCACAAGCACAAGCACAAGCAGTTCTGCCCCTTTTCGGTCCGACACCAGCTTCTCTGCTCGCTTGCTTGCTTGCTGCACACACCTCACCTCTCCCTTCCCGACGCCTCACTCTTGCGCTCAATCTGCACTTCCGTGCTCTGACCCGCGGTGCCAATCACAGCGATCACAGCGAGAGCGCAGCAGATCGGGGCTCGTGAGAATTTTTGGCTGCCTCCATTCACACATATGCCTCCTCACCCGTCCATAGCGGATTTGCTTGTGTAGATGATGAGCGGCACAGGACCCTCGCCGGGCGTATCGGGAGCGCCGGGTGCCAGCTCATCAGGTGCAGGTGCGGGTGCGGGTGCAGGTGCGGGTGCAGGTAGCAGCACAACATCTCAAGGAGGTTCTTTGGCCGGCATGGATCTGAACCCATCCATGCTTAGCGCTGCTGGTCCGCCTCCCTCTTCAGGTCCTGCTATTCCTGCAGGTACAGGACCCGGCGGAACGCCCACCACAGCACTCAGCGTCTATCATCTCATCACCCAGCTCTGCCAAAGACCTGCTGCGGATGAAATCAAAGAGAAGGGTGGCGGTGCTGCCGCCAGTAACGCTGCTGGCACTGGCGCTGCTGTTGGGAGTGGAAATGGCACTGCGCGAATGCCGAGTGGAGAGAACTCGCCCAAACAGCAACAGCAACAGGGAGAAAAGGCAGAGAGCGAAGGAGCAGGAGCAGGAGCAGGAGCAGGAGCAGGAGCAGGGGCAGGAGCAGGAGCAGGCACGGATCAGGTGGCTGCCACCACCTCCACACCCGTCTCTGGTTCAGGGTCAAGCAGCAACAACGGCAACACCAACGTATCTCTCTCCGACCTGGTGCCGGGCTCCTCTCAAGCTCGAGAACACGCGCTGTTGGAGCTTTCGAAAAAGAGGGAACAATACGAGGATTTGGCTTTGGTGTTGTGGCACTCTTTTGGCGTCATGTCTAGCTTGCTGCAAGAGATTGTGGCGGTGTATCCCCTGCTCAGTCCTCCGGCGCTCAGTGCGGGAGCGAGCAATAGGGTGTGCAATGCGCTGGCCCTGCTTCAGTGCGTCGCTAGTCATGGAGAGACGAGAGCGTTGTTCTTGCAAGGTGAGAGCTGGCTTGACGTGGTGGTAGCGGGACACGAGGGTAAAGACACGACTGAGCGTGAGATCAGCTGACATTTGTCTTTCCCTCTCTCTCTCTCCACAGCGCACATTCCCCTCTTCCTCTACCCTTTCCTCAACACCACCTCCAAAACTCGACCTTTTGAATATCTTCGACTCACCTCTCTCGGCGTGATCGGAGCTCTGGTAAAGCAAAACGACAACAGCGACGTGATCACCTTTCTCCTCTCCACCGAGATCATACCTCTCTGTCTTCGCATCATGGAGACGGGCAGCGAGCTGAGCAAGACGGTAGCGATTTTCATCGTGCAAAAGATTTTGCTGGACGATATGGGTCTGAATTATATTTGTCAGACGTACGAGAGGTTTTATGCGGTGGGGACGGTGCTGAGCAATATGGTCAGCCAGATTACCGAATCGCAGGCGGTCAGATTGCTCAAACACGTCGTCAGATGCTACCTTCGACTAAGCGACAACCCTAGGTGAGTAGACCACTCGGCGTGTGATGCGAGGGTGAAAAAGTTCGCCAGATGGCTCATGCGGCATGGCTGATGATGCGACGATCCGTCACGCGCAGAGCGAGAGAAGCGCTTAGAGCTTGCTTGCCCAGTCCTCTGAGAGACGCTACCTTTTCCCAATTGCTAAAGAACGATCATGTGAGTTGGCTCGCGTGGTGCCTCCCTCCGACACGTTCTTGTTGCCGTCTGGTGCACTTTTGAGGCGCGCTAAAGGAAGACTCTCACGGTTCGAAAATCGATGAATGTTCTACCTGGTCTTTCTTTCCCGTTTCATTGGCTCATGTTCCCTCTCCCCTTTTGGCAGATCACAAAACGATGCTTGGCTACGCTTTTGCTCAACCTCTCCGATAATCGCGTAGAAGGTTAACGGAGCAGCACGAGCTCTTGCGCCTTGCACGCTGGTCAATCAACACGAGGCACTCTGGCATAATCGGAAAGGAGAAAGAAGTTCAAGAAGGTGGTCGCACTATCACGAAGGAACAAGAGGGGGGTGGCGCGTGTGGTTCCCTTGAAGAGATCGGGTGAGGAAGCGCGTGTGGCGCTGCATCGACGCAACAGACGCTTGAGCACTACAAATGGGCCACTTGCAAGACTTTCACTACCAACCGCCTCTCCCCCTGCCTGCCTGCCCACCTTTGTCTGGTCTGATGTATTGTAGGCCAATGTAAAGAGATTTTCGAGGAGAGAGAGAGAGAAATTCAAGTCTAGGAAGTGCGAAAGTTGTGTGCGGCAGGCAGTCGCGCTGTATACTCGTCTCGTCCGTCGATTCGGCTGTGCTTTCGCGCAACGAATGGCACTTTGTTTGCCCTCCAAAGTTGGTGAAAGAAAGAACTTGTCATCACTACAACTCGCGACTTGCGACAGTACCGGTAGTGAATTGTGATTGTGATTGTGTATTTGACAGGCAAGAGTTTGAGTTGCGTACGTGGTCCCAACTTGCACTCTCCACTCTCCACTCTCCACTCTCGAGCGAGCGAAATTGATGTACCTATCGGTACGGCATACAGTCCGCGCGTCGTGCGAGTCTTCTGTGACTGTATGTACAAGTTGGGCTGAACAAAGTGGGACGCGGTAGGTTACGAGCTTCGCACGTGTTGCTTGGACGGGCTTGGATTGCCGGCGGCTGCTCATGCAGCTGAGCTGACTGTGACTGCCGCGCAGGGATGGCTATGCTTCCTGGACAGGCAGTCAGCACAGTCAAAGTCACAATCACGAATCGAGTGAATCTCCCTCATCACCTCATCACTCCGACTCTTCGCTGGACGCGTACGCGTACGCGTGACAAACTCTGAACAGACCTTGATCGCTCGACTCACCACTGTCGTGCTGCAAAGCACCTCAAGCCAAGCCAAGCCAAGCCAAGCAAAGCAAAGCACTTTACCCTTGCTTGCTTCTCGCCGAGCTATCTTGTGAGTACAGATCTCCAGCAAGCGTCAACCCCGTCCGTGCACTCAGACTTCAAAAGCCTCACCTCTTCCCCATCACCTTATTTGCGCTCAGCTCACCCCGCGATTATAAACGAGAGTGCAAGGGCGGGAGGGGGTTTGCATTGCATTGCATTGCATTGAGAAGAGGCAGGTTGGTGTAAAAACGTAACGAGGGGGTTGAGCATGAGCTTCACATTGAGGAGCGCCTGCCTGACGAGAGGGACGGCGGGCGGTGCGATGGGGCGGATGATGGCAGCCAATCGACAAAGTCAAAGTCTTTGCGCTTCGGGCAAGAGTTGCAGTCACAGTGCCGTCGGCTCTATGCGCAAGCCTTTGCCCGCGCATGTTTCAGTGCCCGCAAGCGCAAGCGCAATCGCAAGGCTGCTCACGCTCAGCTCCAGCGCACGACTTTGCCCATCATCAGGCCATCACTTGCAGTCCATCTACCCCGCGGCGCATGCTGCCCTGCCACACTCTATTGCCAAGCTGGCAAAGCGCACACGGTCGTTCGACAATCAGAATGTGAATCTGGACACGTATGCCCACGCGCACCCGCACTCCCATCGAGCATCCTTTTGTTCTTGCGCAGCCCGCCCAGCTCAGACTGCATCGGTGGGGCGCGATCTCAGCAGCGGCTCAGCGCAACAGCATAGATCACGCAGCAGCAGTCATTCGGACGAGGATGCGGATGGAGGAGGAGAAGGAGATCCGGAGCCAGAGCCGCGGTCCTTCAAGGAGCGCATGCGGTACTTGTGGAAGAGGTACGGTTGGTGGGCATTGGGAGTGTACCAGCTGTGGTCCTTTGTCGATGTTTCCCTCACCTTTGCAGCGATTCACCTGCTAGGTGCGGATCACATACGCAAGTTGGAAAGCAGGGTGAGGGAGTGGGCGGGTATTGGAAAGAGACAAATGAAGGATGAGGATGTGGCTGCTTGGCCTTTGGAGATGCCTAGCGCGCAAGAAGAGGGCAAGACCAAGGGTCATTTGAAGGAGAACAATTCGCAAGCTGCAAGGAGCGCTTTGCGATTGCAAAAGGCTGGTGCGAGAGCGCAACAGGCGGCTGACGACGCGTCTACAGCTCAGCAGGGCGGTGGTGGGCGTGCGGCGGATAGCAAGAAGAGCACAGACAAAGCAGCAGCAGCAACAGCAGGAGGAGGAGGAGGAGGAGAAGAAGAGGGAGAAGGCATGATCAGTGCGGCTGTATGGACGGAACTGGTGCTGGCATACACTATCCACAAGACCTTGCTGCTACCTTTTAGAGTAGCGCTCACAGCTGCCGTCACGCCGGCTTTTGTCAAGCAGATGGTCAAGCTGGGTTGGGCCAAACCCAATACGGCCGTGCAGGCTGCCAACAAGGCCAAAGCTGCTGCGGCTGCGACTGCGGCTGCGACTGCAAAGGCCAAGACGGCAGCAGCTGCAAAGACCAGCTAGGCTCAATTTACCGTCCCCCTCCACCCCCCCGCCGATCATTCGCGTCGGATCATATTGTGCAGTCACAAGTCGGCTCACATCAGAAGAGCGGTACATGTGTGCCTTCCCACGATCTGCTTCCCCCCCCTCTTCTGGCAGCCAAGGCTCAAAGGGTCTCGTCTCGATCATTCCCATCGTCAGGCTTCATGCGTTGCCAACTTGCACGCGCTCGCATGCGCAAATTTCCCCACCACTCACACCTACACCACCACCACCATCTCCTCCCCCCTCCTCATCACTTCCAAAAAGTCACGACAATAGATTGCGAATCGAGCGACTACATACAGACTAGTCTATCTCGACGTGCCCAAAAAAAAAAAAAAAAAGTCGAACCTGTGTATCTCTTCGATCGTGCTTCGAACAGCACCGCGGTAAGCTCCGGAATGTTGCGCAGTCCAGTCCCTCTACATCCCACCCAAGCTTGCCGCAAGGTTCGCGCCTCAATCTCGAGATGCGAGCCTTCAAAGCACCTGCACGTGGACGTGGGGGCATAGCAGCATGCTCCTCTCCTATTCGTATCTCATCATGTTCAGCCTCCCTTGGGCAACAAAGCCCATCCCAGCACGCCAGCTGCAAAGCCAGAGACTTTTTCTTGCGGCGTGTGGAAAAAGAGGGCGGTGTTGAGTAGACAGAACCATTCGAGCAGGATCACCAGCAGGATCAGATAGGCGACCGATCGGTTGATGAGCGCTTTGACCTCGTTGCTGCTGCCTTTGCTGCTGCTGCTAAAGGGATTTCGAGATGCGCGCAAGGAACGAGGAAGAGGAATACTGGGGATCAGATAGGAGAGGTAGGGCAGTAGATCTTCTACCAGCAAGAGCGAGGAGAGGATGAGGATAAACGTGTGACCTGATAAGTCGTGACCTCCTCTGACTGTGCATGTCGTCGTCGCGCGCTGGTGTCAGCTCAAACGATAATCGGCGTGCGTGCGTGCGTGGCGCCCCGCAATCTCGCTCCACTCTATTCGCGCGTGGTGCATTCGCACTCACACTTGGGCCGGATCACACCTCCGCTGGCATGCGCCCCGCTCAGAGTAGCTGCTGAGAACAGCGTCGGATGAGACGCTGGCGTGATGCCTTTTCCCGTCAGACAGATGATCGGATCGATGCCACCCGGCGGCACGACGATGCCTGGAGCAGCAGTGATGATGCTAGCAGGCACGCACGTCGCTCCTGTCCAGACTCGAAGGCGCGTCGTCAAGGAAGGACCAAAGAACCAGGCGGCAAAGAGACTGTTGAAGAAGGTGACATTGGACATTGGCATGAGCTAGGCTACCCAAGAATCCGCATGTATGCGCCACGACTCACACTGAGGAGATGTTCGATGGTAGCAGCGCGACGCGGACGAGTGTGGTAAGAGCAGGAGTGAGCAAAGTCGGAGCGCACAGCGTGGGAGCGGACGCATGGAACATCCATGGGCGCTCCAAGGCGTACAAGCACGTGGCTTGTTCTCTCTCGAGAGCTCGCAAGGCTATTCGAAACTCACGCCAAGTGGTGGTAGCGATGGCGTACCTGAATGCTGATCTGGCAAGCGGACTGACGATGGTGCCATCCTGATCCGTTTGACTCGCATCCGCATCCGCATCCGCAGCCGCAGCCGCAGCCGCATCATCCACATCCCTCCTCTTCTTGTTCTGCGCTAGCTGTACGGATCTCGTCTCTTGCAGAGATGGAGCAGCTCTGAGGGTAATGGCTTGCAAGAACCACGCCAGCGTAGTCCAAGCCCAGAGATTCTTGATGAATACGACATTGAGCAGGTTTCTCCTGTCGGCAAAGTAAGAGAGAGGAGGTTCAGGTGCGGAAGAGTCGGCAGTGGGAATGCTTTGCGTTTGCGTTTGCGTTAGCGATGCAGAGGTGATGGATAGGTTGCTCAGATGAGATCCGCTCAGGACCGAGTGAAATGTTCCGACTGCGACGATGCAAAGCGGAATGCCGAGCACCAGGACGTGCTGTGGTGCCAAGCCAAAGATGCGTTCATCCCGCACTCCAACGCCTCGCCTCACAACTCTTGCAGAGGCCATGGCTTGGCTTGAGTTTGCAATGGCTGCCTGCCTGCCTTGGTCCTTTGCCCCTCTGGCTAGTCGTTTTTGGTGCAGAGAGTCACGAGTGCAGCTTGAACGTCCGATTGTAAGGAAGAGCAGGTCGACGTCAGATCGTGAGTCGTGAATCGCGAGTTCTTAGGCCGATGAAGGGCAAGCTTCTGAAATCGGGAAGCGAAATGATGAACGCGTATGGACTGCCTGGCTGATGTGGAGCTTAATTGAAAGCTGCGCGCGCGTGCGAACAAGAGACTTGACGTACGATGAGCTCTTGCGCGCGGTTAATTGAACAGGCGCCCCCGATCGAGACTCAAATTGTCACGTGATCAGTTTTGTGATCGAGAGGACCCCTCTCTTGCAAGCACGATGACGCGTCGGCGGTGGTGGACATGGCAGGGCAGGGCTGATGCAGCATGGAGCTCGACATTCGTGATTCACGAACCAAGATTCAAGATGGGCAGCTATGCACGTGATGTGCGTGCATATTCTCGCTCCAGCAGGCACAAGTAGCAGCACCCACAAGCCCCAACCAAAATGACTGCAGGACTCATCAACAAAGAAGAAAGCCTTGTCTTGATTCGCCAGTGATTCACGATTCAGGATTCAGGATTGTTGAATGATCCATGCATCAGCTGCACCTCGGCCTGGAATCGGCTGAAGAGAAGAGGAGCTGTGCGCGAGTCGCGGGACGAGGCTTAGGCAGAAGTTATAAGCATGATCGAGCGAGCGTGAGCATGCATGGGCATGGGCGTCAGTCTGCGCATCAGCCCTCTGGCAGTCTTGATGAGTGATGTCGAAGGATGAGTCAGAGTGATCGAGCGCTTGGGCTGCGCGGGCGTGATGCGGATGACGGCCGGGGCATGGCAGGGCAGGGCATGGCATGGATGGCATGCTGGCTGCGCTGCGATATCATGCGCCGCTACAGCTGCTCCTGCTCACACGCGCGCCGCTGCATGTGCATGCTGGTGTCCCTCGATCCTTCCTCCACCTGCTGCTGCTGTTGCTGCTGCTGCTGCTGCTGCTCCTGAGCTCACCTTCGAAATCATCACTTTGTTCGCCTCCCTTGTGGACAACGTTGGATGGCAACCATCATCATCATCTCGACCCGCAGACATCCTGACTCAACATCTCCTCCTCAAGCGCGGGGCCCGTTTGCACAAGCACGAACACGCCAAGTCTTGCAAGGAACGCCATCAACAAGAACAGCACACGCACACCTCTCAAGCCAAGCACTAGACCCAGCAACAAACACAGCCCCTACCTCTAGGCGCCGCAAACAGGCATCAGATCACAATGTCGACAGCAGCTGCTCAGAGAGCTCCGTCTGCGGACGCCAAGATGGGAGGAAGTGGAAGCGGAACAGGAAAGGATGCGAGTGGAGCGCAAGCTCTTCGCGGAAGGCGTGGAAGCGGTGTAGAGAGAGCAGGCGATCATGTGAGTTTTGGCCAGCAGCGTACGCCTACAGTCGGCTGGGCCCTGCTCCATCCTCTCGGCCATCGACCCTCAAGATTTGGCTCGATGATAGGCAGCCTGGCAACATTCCAGCCTGATGGTACGGTCGGTCTCGCCGCGGCGAGCTTGGCTGAGTGGTACCGAGCATGCTCGTGCAATGCTTCAAGCGCCAGCGCAACGTAATGAGCATATATGCGTCGCATACCTGTGTCGCGCACCGACCAAACGTGGTGGAAGCAGTCGATGCAAACACGCTGGCTGGCATGCGATGCGCAGAGATCTCAAAGGCTTCGGTGCACCTGATGCCAAAGTGCTTTGCTCGCTTGCGTGCTTGCTAACGAATCGCACCTTGGTTCGCTGTGCAGATCGTCACTTGGCACAGTTCCTCGCACTCCTCGCGCAACAAGATGTCAGCAGCTCAAGAGCAGCTGGATAAAGAGCTGCAAAAGTACAAGGACATGTTTACACTCACGCCAGAGACGCTCGTTCGAATCACTGATCGATTTGTAGAGACGCTCGAAAAAGGTCTGCACAAGGATGGCCAGACGGTGGTGAGTGTGTTGCTGGATGGATCGCGCAGCGTTGCGGCTTGTGTGCAGTCAGCGGGGACCATACGTCTTGCAGGAGAAGGGTGAAGCTTGACTGGTCAGCAGCGTGGTCTGACTCGCCATCTTCTCCCTCTTAGCCAATGCTTCCAGCCTACGTATTTGGCTGGCCTACTGGCGATGAGAAGGGCTCCTACCTGGCTCTTGACTTGGGAGGCACCAACCTGAGAGTCTGCCATGTCACGCTCAAGGGTAAGGGAGAGTTTGACGTTACGCAGACGAAATTCCGTCTGACGGACGAGCAAAAGCGGTGCGAAGGTCAAGAATTGTTCGACTTTTGCGCCGATTGCTTGAACACCTTCATCAAGGATCACTTTGGTGGACGCGATGGAGAGGTTCATTTGGAGGAGGACATTGCTCTCGGTTTCACTTTTAGCTACCCTATGGAGTGAGTTGAGTATGCTCGCGATCACTAGCTCTACCTCCCCTGCCGCTCACCAGATCAAGCTGCCGCAACAGACAAGAGCGCATCGACCACGGCAAGCTCGTTCGGTGGACCAAGGGTTTCGGCAATCCCAACACCGAGGGCAACAATGTGGCCGACATGTTCAAAAAGAGCCTTGAAAAGTACGAGGTGCCGATCAAGATGACGTCGTTGATCAACGACACCACCGGCACGCTCATCGCCTCCAACTACGTCAGGCCAGACACGCGCATCGCGTGCATTTTCGGCACGGGATGCAACGCGGCGTACATGGAGCACATTAAGAACATTCCCAAGATTGCGCACCACAAGCTGCCAGAAGATGAGGACATGGCGATCAATTGCGAGTATGGAGCTTTCGATTCCTTCGAGCACAAGCACATGGCGGATATCCGAACAAAGTACGACGAGTACATTGATCTGCACAGCAACAAGCCTCACGAGCAGGCGTACGAAAAGATGATCGCTGGGCTGTATTTGGGAGAGATTTTCCGATTGGTGATGTGCGACCTGGTGGATGAAGGTGTGCTGTTCCTAGGACAGAACACGTACAAGATCGAAAAGCCCAACGTGTTCGACACTGCCTTTTTAAGCTTGATCGAATCGGACCCGACGGACGAGCTGCTCACCGTCACTGGCCTGTTCGCTCACTTTTTCGGATTGGAAACGACGATCGAGGAGCGAAAATTCTTCAAGCAGCTCGCGGAGCTCATCGGAACCAGAGCGGCTCGGCTTAGCTCTTGCGGGATTGCGGCAATTGTCAGGAAGATGGGCTATCAGGAGAAGGGCTGCGAAGTTGGCGCTGATGGTTCGCTCTACAGCAAGTACCCCCGTGAGTAGAGAGAGAGAGAGAGAGAGAGAGAGAGAGAGAGAGAGAGAGAGAG